TTAAGGTTAATTCTTTATAATGGTTTTCCTTCCTAATTTTTTTATTTGACAAAATAGTTTAATAAAGATGTTAAAATTTTACAATATAATAAATTATTATTATAAAAGTAACAAGATCTAGTTATATTTTTGCAAAAGAGTAACTGTAACTATTAATATTTTTTGGAATGTAACTGCCCAAAGTAACAAGTTACGTTTTAAAATATTGATATTTATATATATCTTAAATATATTAAAAAGATCATATTTAATATTTTATAATAAAATTAAAACTAAATAATAATTAATTTAAAATTTCATTTTAAATGTCTTATACTGTATGTGCACCTTTTTTATATTTAATATTTAATTGATATTTTATAAGACGTAGAATCAGACAAATAAAAAATATAAATTCTGATTCTGACTTACCATTTAGCAAGGATAAAGTTCAAATGATTCAGAATGATTAAACAAAAATTTTCCCAATTTCTACAATTACCACAATGGATTTAAATCTAAAAATACCTTGAGCAAGTTTCAAAATTTTTTGGGATATCACAAAGGAAAGCTAGCAATACAAATATGTTAGTCTTAAATGCCTACTATCCCTCCCAAGAAAAAGTATATTTTAGCATCTATCATCATCAGCCATTCTACGAAAAATCTCTAAGTTTATTGACACATAACTTGTTTTAAATATGCCAATGTTTTAGTTAACTGTATATATAATAAGATTAATTAACATATATTAAATATTCTTATATAAAAAAATATAGATAACACATCATAATATAACTAATTCTTTAAAATAAAGGAAATATAAAAAAAATAATTCAGCAAAATCAAATAGAAGGAAAGAAAGAAAGAAAGAAAGAGACTAATTGTGATTTAAATGACTTTAACTACCTACCCAGGCAAGAATATTTTCTTGTTATTCATTAAATTTGGTTTAAACATAAGATGCTAACAATATCCTATTAGAGTATGATGATTAATATTGCCATATCAAAATGTCAACGTTTGTGGAATTTACAGAAGAAATTTGAAATGTCAACGTTTGTGGAATTTACAGAAGAAATTTGGGTCATAATAATTCAAGATAAAGTTAATTTTGTTGATAATAAACATATATAAAAAATTTTAAATACATTTTATTAAAGTTTCTAGTAGAACTCTTGTAACGTCTAGGAAAACTTATTTAATGTGAGAAAAGTAGCCAGTCTTTTAAGAAATTTAGCAAGTCCTAATTTTATTTTTATAAAAAAATAGTGATATATGATTTATTTCGATTTAAATATATTGTATTCTCTATTTCTTTCAGTATAATTGTTTTTCTCGAAAATTTTTTATGATTTATAAAGCAATAAAAAAACAACAAATGTCAACTTTTAGAGGCCTTGTCTTATTTAAATGGATAAAAATTTTCCCACTTTTCAAAATTGCAGTTTATCAATTTATCAAAGCATTTGAAGTTGCCGAAATTATCCAAGGCCCAAATTATGCAGGTTAGATTGTATCTATTTCTATATAAAAATATTCTGTTAACCTTTAAAGAGATTTGAAATGTTAAATTGCTTAATGATCAATCATAAAAATTTGTATCTTTTTGAAATTTTCTTGACCAAAATCAGTCTATTCTTTACAGTGCATAATATATAATCCATTTTTAACATTCATTATATAAAATTTTAAATAATGTTTAATTTTAATAATAGTCCAATTCGGTAAATTGTTACATTTTTATAGAATTTAAAAAAAATATATATCTTATTTTCAAGCGGCATTTCTGATTGATCCTGCAAGTAAAAAATGAACTTGAATTATAAATTTGTTATAAATTGTATATTGTTTTTTCTTATGTTTGTAGAGAGGGATGTAATGATTGCTTAATGGAAGCTATAAATTTTTTAGAATATATGTGTCATTGAAAATATATAATAATTAATTTAAATGCAAGCTTTTTATTTTTCATTATTTTATTTGATATATATCCAGGTTTGAGCGGATCCGTTTTATGAATTAAAACCAAAATTTGAGATCGAGCTCAGGCTAATTTAGTTAATGTATATTAATATATTATTTTTACCAACAGCTCATATTTCTATTAACAATTACTTAAACATATACAATATTTTTTAAATCTTTATTAGTAAATGTCTACATTTTTTCAACATAATTATTTGGCCTTTAATCACATGGTCCTAAATTCTTGCCTACTGAAAATTTCTTCAGGTTCTTCGACATCTTAGTGTTATGAACATGATATACGTACTCATAACTTTATCAATATAAATATTCGGATTACAAGTTTTGCGAACAAACCTTAATGCCATATATTGATCTATAGAAAAATATAGGTTGTTTCACCGTTTTATATAATTTTCTTCTTGGTATCAAATAGAGTGTTGATAAAGAAGTTCTCATAATAAAAAGAAGTTTTCGTCACATTACAATTTTTTATATTAATTTTAATTGGAAGGAGAGCAAAATATAGCGGCTATTGATGAAAAACCCCAGTTGTTCAACCAAAAGAATTATATATATATATTTATGTTTGATAATTATATTATAGCGTGACATGCACACATATTTTTTGCGTTATTAGTGAAAATGAATATAGGGTTAAAGAGTTAATAGTTTATGGTTAGTGATTATTTATAAATTTTAACTCTTCTTTAAAACAAGTTAAATACAGATAAATATTTTTAAAAATTATATATCTTATATACAGAGATAAATATCTTATTAAATACTCAATAAGATACAAGATATTTTGCTAAATAGGAGTGGATACTGTAATTAAAACATTAAGCTTAAGTCATGAAATGGAACAATATAATACAGTGATTCACAAAAAACTAACTAATTGTAACAAAATGCTAAAAATTTATGTGACCCAACAATAAAATAGAAACAGGTTTCTTTTTCCTTAGGTCTTTCTTTAAACAAATACAATCAAGAAATAAAGAATAATTATATATAATTATTTTTATATCAAGTATATTGTACACAATGGGAAAATTAAAATGTTGAACAAAATAAGATTATGATTATTTTAAAATACTGAATGTAAATTGATCATAAAAGATAACATCGAATACAACAATAAAGTTGGCATGTCAAAATATAAAATGTTAATAATGTTTTTTGATTTGAAATATAAAGGTAGGAAAGAAAAAAAAACAATAAAAATAATGTAATCCATGGGAGAAAAAAAGATTAAAAAGTGAATATTGAATTTTTTAAACAAAAATATAAAAATATATTCTATCTCTATCTTTTGTCAAGAAAATGAAAATACAAAATTCTTTTGAAAAGAAAATATCGTAGTTTCAAATATGTGAGTTTTATAAAAATATGCTAAAGAATCTTTTATCTTATATGAAAGTATTTTGCGGTATGTCTAACTCTCACTATTTTTAAATATCAATTAGATATAAATTTGTTATAGATTTTTTTACAATTATGTAGGCACTTATTTATTATAAAATTTTTGTTGCATAATTTTAACTATATTTAATTTTGCATTTTGATACAGATGCAGCTGGTAGTAAATCTATATAAAATATATTTTGAGATTTGCAAATTAATATTGACTCGGTTTAACAATTTACGCCTTAACAGTGTATAACTCTTAGTCCAAATTTTAAAATTATTTAATTTAAACGTTCTTTTAAAAAATTAATCAATCAAATTTTCTGATTTCAACGTTTTTAATTGTTTAAAAATATTTTTTTTTTCTCTTTAACTTTCATTTTTTCTGGTGGTAAGCTCCTTCAATATCTCTCTCCACTTTATGTTATTCATACTATCTCTTTTATTTAATTTATACTTCTTCATATTTGCTCTAAGTTATGTCCCTGGCCTTCCTCTTTTACGTTTCCCCATCACTTCCAAACTCTCAACCTTGTTACCTATGTAGTTCATAAACCTTCTCATTGTGTGCCCATATCACTTTAGTTTGTTTTCCATTATTAATGGCCACTATCTTTAAACTTCCTAGTATTTTTGTATTTCGCACTTTATCCTTCTTGTTACCCCATCAATCATCCTCAGCATTCTCATCTCTATAGTTTGTAGACTTCTCTCATCTGATTATTTGGTTGGCCATGTTTCCGAACTATATGGAATAGTTGGTTGTACTATGGAATTGTTAATTTTTACTTCAATTTATATGGGATTCTTTTGTCAAAGAGCACTCCAGATAAAGATCTCCACTTCAACCACCCTTGATTAATTTTAATCCTTATCTCTTTATTGTGCCGTTTGTTTGTATAGTGGAGCCAAAATATTTGCAGATTTCAATTGCCAATATCTGCCATTCATTTATATCAATGCTCTCTGTTTCATCTCCTCCTATCACCATACTTTTATCTATTTACTTTTAGTCCGTGCTTTTCTATGATATTTTTCCAACTCACTAATCTTTCTTTCATTTCATCCTTGGATTCGGCAAGTATCACAATATCATCTGCAAATATCAATTCCACGGGAGTGTTTATGGTATAGACTGTTCTAATACAGCTATTACTGTTATGAAGATAAGTGAGCTGAGAGCCGACCCTTGATAAACTCCTTCGGCTATTGTGAAGCCTGTTGAAATACCAGTTGTGCTACAGATCATTGTTATATGGCCCATATACATATCCTGTATTATTCTTATCTTATATATTTTTCAGGAACCTTATTGTGGCGTACTCACCAGATAAGTTTTCTTGGGATTCTATCGAAAACGTTTTCTAAATCGAGAAAGGCCATGTATAGCCTTTTGTTCTTTTCCCTGTATTTTTCCTCATTTGCCTAATTGCGTATACTGTACCAGTTGTTGATTTTCTAGGCATAAAGCCAAACTGAGTTTCTCCTATTTCGCTTATGTCTCTTAACCTTTCTTCTATTATTTTTTCATAGAGTTCAAGACAGTGTAACTTTTATGCCTCTGTAATTTTGACAATTGTGTGGATCCCCTTTATTTTTGGAGATAGGAACTATATATCCTGCCTCCTTTTTTGAGGAATCTCTTAATTTCCCAATATTTTATTGTAGAGATTTATGCAATCATCTCCTAGTTCTTTAAGGATTTCTATTGGAATATCATCTGGACCGCTAGCTTTGTTGTTTTTCATATGCTTGAGGCATGTGATTATTTATTGTTCTGTTATTGGTTGTGTAAGGTTTTGACATGGGGAGTGTTCATCTAGATGTAGTATGTGAGGATTAAAGTTGAAAAGCTCCTGAAAATATTCTTTCCATCTATTCATTATTTCTTTTTCCTTTATTATCAATTTCCCATCTTTATTTTTGATTACTTTCGGAGCTCCGTTAATATCTCTAGAATTCTTTTCTCGCTGTTTGGCTAATCTGTATATTTTATATTGCCCTTCTTGTACTTCTTCATACATGTCATCGTATGCCATAGCTTTGGCCCTAGCCACTGCCTTTGTAGATATTCTTGGATTTATCGTAATTTGTCTTGTCAACTGGGTTTTTGGATTTGTACCAAATTTTATATGGGCCTTTTTTCTCCTGTAGTTTGTACTTCTTCATTCCACCACCATAGTTTTTTGTATGATTTGTTGCCTCCCCTTGTCAAGCCTAGTGTCGATATGGCAGTGTCTATTGATCTGAATGAAAGGTCTGTCCACATTTTTTAACTGACTTGTGAGGAATCTATTGTTTCAATGTTTGCATTGATTACAAAGGCACCTGTCATTGATTATAATCTAGTCATTTGATTCATGGTTCAAGTTTTATCTCGTTCTGAGTGAATTTATTTGTGATGTGTAAATCCATGACTAGTAGCTTGTGTTGCGAGGCAATATCTTCTACTGAGATGACTTTGCAGTTTATTATATCTTTTAATCTTCTGCGAGCGATAAGCATGTATATCTGGGTTTTCCTTGTACCACTTTCATATGTTATTAAATTACTATCCTTTTTCTTATAGTAAAGTTTCGAAGGCTTGCGCAAATTTCAGTAGATGCTCTCCTTCATCATTTTTTTCTCTATATTCAAAATCATAGCTGTCTCTTGCTTTTCCCACATGCGAATTCCAGTCCCCACCTATTATGAATAGGTAATCCTTAGGGACCATTACAGCTTCATCAAGGATAGCTCTAAAGTCATCTTTCTCATCTTCTTTGTAACCTGTTTTAGGAACATATACAATGTGTAGTGTTGATTGACCAATGCATGTTTTAATTTTCATTAGTCTATTGATCCTGTTGACTTCTACTACTGAGAAGGTTAGATCTTGACGAGGATGCTGACAACGTTCCTATTGCTAACAATTCCATTATAAAATTTATACCCATCTCCAATCAAAGTCTTCTGACCATTCCATTTCGTCTCTTATATGCAAGCTATATCAACTTTTATCTTGTTCAACATTGATGTCAATTCTCTCGTCTTACCAAGTGTACCGATATTCAACTTGTCTTCTTTGCTTTGACCTTTATTTTACTTTTCACAGGATGGAAGAATACACCCTGTGGGTTGCTTCGAGGGAACGCCCTAGCTTATATTCACATTTTTGTTTATTTCCTTCATTTTTGTTTATTGGACAAGTATCCTTGGCACCCGGCTATCCAAGCTTGTCGGTGACCGGGATGTCATCTCTAAGCTTCGAAATTCATCTTACCATATGTCTTTAAACTCAAGGCTTAGAGGTGACAACCCGGTCACCGACAGGCTTTTACAGCAGGGAGCTAAGGATACTTTCCAATAAAAAAATGAAGGAAAACAATACATTTTGTACATTGTTAATTAAAAATACATAATGTAACGCTTTTTGAAACAGGATTAATATATTTATTTCATATCCAAATGAGATGCAATAAACAGGGCAGAGAATTTAAAAAGATATACTAAATATTAAGTGGAACTATATATTTTCATGCTATAATTACCTCTACCCCAATAATGCTATGGAACATCTTCAAAAAAAATTACTTTATTTTCATTTATCATGCAAAAAATGATAAAATTATTGTAGAAATGTGTTTAACTACCAGATTTGACAAAAAAAAACGAATATATAGAAATTGTCATCTTAGTTCTAACCAAACAAGTAGGGCTTAATAGTTTCGATTTGTTTATGAAAGGATAAGCCCAATTTTTAATTTATTTGTAAGCCCAAACTAGCCAAACTCGGTTCGATAAGCATATAATTACTAAATTTTATAAAATAATAATAATTAATTGATTTGTCATAATTTTATTATCCATTTATTTTTAAATATAATATAAACATTATTTTCTAATTTTTTAATATATTTTAAAGCCATACAATCCCTTATTTATTAAATATCAGGCCCCATTGCAATATTCTAATCAATTTTTTAATTAATGTGATAATATTATTCAGATGCTCAAAAAATTGGTTTTCCAATTATAATTTTCTGTTGCATATTTATATTTTACATAAAAAGTTGAAGAAATGGCTCCATGTAAGAATATCAGTTTTATAAAGACTCCTAATTAATCGCTGTGAAATTTTTTTTATTAAGCGGTCCTAAAATGAATCCCTAAGAAAAATATTGGAAACACTCAGAATATGTCTCTTAAGTGCTAAGAAATATTTTTTCAAGCTATGTTGGCCCTTCTTTTATCGTTAATATAAATATTTAGTATGGCTTATTTTGATTTTTTTTATAAGCAGAATCTTTATAAATGTTCCTCCCTACAGAATAACCCTAAGCTGTAACCTAGAATGAAACTTTTTAAGTCAATATATTATTATTTAAAAAATTAATTATAATGATGCGGATAATTAAATGATGCAAGATCTTTTTATTTTAAAAACTATATTGAGATAAATATTATAATTTTAGTCCCCCACCTCACCTCACCCTCTCTAAAGCTTGGAACAGATCATAAATTTTTAATATCTATATCGCAATATTATATTAAAAATATCTAAGACCTATCCTACCCATCCCATACTCAGACTAAATACGTAGGACATAGATAGATAGTAACCATGAATTATATGTTTGCTTTATTAGCTTTACCATGGTCAAGATAATTTTTTGGATAAGGTTTTAACACCCCCTCTCCACACAACTTATATCAAAGGAACTAATATGATGATTTTCATAGCAGTCACATACTAATTATTTAACCTTTATAATATGCCCTTGTCGAAATCCTTTTTTATAAGAAGTTTAACCCCCCCCCCTCCTTGATCTTATCATGTGAAATTGATGGTTAAATATAATACTCAGCTTGCATTTGATACCTTTCTATATACGTTTTTAGAAAAAATTTTCAATTTAAAAAATTATAAAATTTAAAGAAAAATAAGTTAGAAAGTAAGATAAAACAAAAGAAATAAATGACAGGAAAGAAAAAAAATTAAGAAATTACAAAATTATTTCGTATTGATATTAAAAAGATTTTAGCAAAATGTTATTTTAGAATTTAAAAAATTTGGAATAATTCTTATTAATTAATTTTATAATTTTTATTAGTGGTAGAAGCTGCTCCTGGTAAGAATATTACTTTTAATAAAAATAAAATTGTTTTATAATTTTTATTAACAAGTGATAGGAGAAGGTGCTGCCGGTAAGCATATTTATAATATAAAAATACATTTCAAACTTGTTTTTCAAAATAGATTAAAATAAATTCAAAAAATATATTGATTTCAAAATATTAGATTTGCAAATTCAACCTCTTCGGACGGTTAGAAGATTTTAATTCATGTTTTCAGAGATTTGCGAGGCCTTGCCTGTATTTAATATAAATATTTTCTGGCCCTGCCCAAAAATATATTATACACATTCCCCTAGCCGGTCCGATAAAATTTTGGCAAGGCTTTAAGGCTTACAAACAGACCATTCAGGGTTCGAAAATTTTTGCATCAGTAGGTCTATGATCTCTCACTCATGATTTTTACGATGGGTCAGCATCTGCGAGTTGTGATCCTAATCAAGCGTAATGTCATATATTTGTTGCTTAAGTTTACGTGGGAGCCTGGCTTCTTTTCTGCATTGTTAATACAAATTTTTCTAACTTATTCAATTGGCACTTTTAATAGTTTTGATGAGTGGCTCTCTTTTGACTTTGTTCCATTTAAATACAATCCCAAAAATAGTTCACATTTATTTTAAAAATATTTAGGAGTTAATATCTTTTCTAACTTCCTTTTTTACCTTTCAAATCAAGGTTATTTCTTTGATTGAAAATTTTCTTGGCTTATAAAATTAGATTCAAATTTTTGATTTTAAAATACTTTATAAATCAATCGATAAAGAACTAAATATGTCATTAACTAGAATTCATAAATAGGGAAACATTACTAAAACTCTGACAATTATAGAATAATTTTACCGTTCTATTTAATATGTATATATTTAAAATTTTACTAACAGGTTTCTGGGAATACTTTGGTTCTAATTAACAATCCGTTTTAAAGGCTTTGCAAATATTTATGTTTGGGCCATCTGGAGTAGACCGTGACCAGCATAGTTCTGATACATTTTAGGAATGAGCCTATATATTTTATAATTTACAGAACCCTATCTATAAATTCAGAAAATTTAGTTATGAACATTTGAAGCATTTTTTTTCTCATTTTTAAAATGACTTAAATTAGTCAAAGGTTTTTAATATAAAATTATCAAAAGAGTATATATATTCTACACATGTTTGAATGCATTTCAAGGAATATTTTACTTTTCAAATTTAGAATAATACTCAATAAATAATATGTTCAACAAATGACATATTGTTAGTGAAGACATATTAACGCTACCATTTTGGTCAGTTGAAATACGAATATAATTCTTGCAAGATTTATAATTTATGCAATTTTTTTATTAACAAGTGATGGAAGAAATTGCTCCAGGTAGGAATATGTTTGATAAAAAACATAATATTTTAATTAAGATAGATAAAATCATACAAGACATAAATCTTTAATATAGGCTCAATTTAATGAAAAATAAAAATGATTCTACTTAGCTAACGATATTTATCATAGAGCTAGGATAGTTTTAATATAATCAGTGATTAAGACCTTATATATATTAACTCCGGATCCTGCCTTTTTTCTTAAAAGAAGAATAAAAATTTTAATTCGCATAAACTGTTTTTAATAATTGTTAACTAAAAAAATATAAAATTAATTGTAAGACACTACTTTAACAAATAAATAGGATTTCTTCATTTTATATTTTCCATAATAAAGTCGAAGTTTTAAATCAGAAATTATGATAAAATTTTATGAAGATATGAGATTGATTCGTAAATGTGTAACCAAAATTTATAAATAACAAAAGGTTTAATGATTTTTCTTTGCGCGAAAAAATCTGTATTTTTAATAACCACTTTATCATTACTACATAAAACTAGTAAAACATATCAACTTACTATGCTTAATTAGGATTGCTTTTAAAGTTAAGAAATTTTATTTTACCTTAGCATCTGCTTCTTTTAGGTGCCTCTCATTAAGTCATTTTTTAAATAATAATCTTTCCACTACTATCAATCTTTACAAAATATTTAATTTTTTAATCAACTTCAAAAACTTATACATTGTCCTAACTGCTACTATTTTTTTGGAGATATTATACATATATTTCTAGATCTTCTACTTGTAAAATTATGAAATTATTGAAAATTAGTAATTGTTATAAAATAATT